TTTATATATTTTTTCATAGTTGGCTAGCCGTTAATGTATTTTTATGAAGAGAGTTTTGTGAGAGAAAGAGAGAGGGAGAATACTTTATTGTGGAACTAGAGTTTCCGAACAAATAAGGTGACAAAAAACTTTTATAAATCTGGCATTTGAATTAATCACAGTTTGACATTAACATATAGTGAAAAAAATTGACATAGACATAATAGTACCAATAATAAGAATTTAGGGAAAAATTGTAATAATAAAGCACGCTCAGTCTTGTGCGATCACAAATTGTAAACTTCTGTATCGTTCCAAGTTTATTATATGTACCGCCGAAGCGAGTAAACAAACGGTAAAACTTAAGAAAAGGATGAAAAAAAAGCTTTCTTATGTAGTAAAAGAACATAATAACATTGTGGGGGGGGGGTCGGTGGCCGCAACGGTTTAGCCGCTCATCACTGTAAGGTGAAGGTCCCGGGTTCGAAAAAAATAATAATAATAACAATAATAATAATATTGTGGCCTATGTTGGCTCTGTTTGAAGGGAGATTAGGTGTTTGTACAGGAGGGATTCAAAAGAGGTTAAGTACGCGGCTTTGCGAATTGGCAAAAGAAAAGAATTCATAACTTTAACTTATTCTTTAACTACTAAATTTTTCCATCAATGGTCAGCCATACAATTTTGTTGTTTTATTCAATGGTAAACTTTCAAGAGTTTGTATTCAATCTGGATTATAAAAACTTCGTAAGCTTTTCCAACTTTTTATTTTTTACGTAGATGCATTTTGATGCTCTTTCCGCCTCTTCCTCAGTACATTTTTCTTTTTAAATAAAAATTTTTTAAATTAAATTAAAATGTACTGAGGAGGAGGCGGAAAGAGTCTCAAAATGCATCTACGTAAAAAACAAAAAGTTGGAAAAGCTTACGAAGTCTTTATAATCCAGATTATCATCCATATCAAAGAAAAAGAAAAGCAAGAAATAATCATCAATATTTGATAGCTAATATTTTTCCATCATTGTTCAGCAATACAAATTTGTTTTGTATTATTCAATGGTAAACTTTCAATAGTTTATTTTCAAGGATAATCATCAATATTTGATGTCTAATATTTTTCAGAGGCCAACCATCGAGGTTTTTTCAGTAATGGTCACTTGAATCACTTTTTTTTTTTTTTTTAATGATAAAAGTTCAACATTTTTCCATCATTGTTCAGCCATACAATTTTCTTTTGTTTTATTCAATGGTAGACTTTCACGAGTTTGTATTCAAGGATAATCATCAATATTTGATGTCTAATATTTTTCAGAGGCCAACCATCAATATTGCATTTTTTCTGTAATAAATATGCATCAGTCACTTGTACATTGTAAACTGTAATCCAACATCTTGGATTTGTCATATTTTAACTAAATAAATACTTTTACACACTTAGTGCTTTTTCAAAACTTAATCAAATCGACACCTTCATCAGCTCAAAAATTAAATTAGATATTAATATGTAATGTTCAATATCGCTCACCAACTTGTGTAACTATAACACAATTTCATAACGCTCATTTTGAATTCAATGAAGCATACGCACATAAAGATGTTAATAATAATAATAATATATATGCCATGTCAAGTTGAAAGAAAATATAACAAAGAGAACTCTTTCAATGTCTATTTTAGAATAAATTATTAAACGTTAAAGTCAATTTTTTGGTAAATAAACCCGAAGCCGCTCGCGATATGAGTTCAGTTCGGATGAGCAGCCAGGTAGAATTGATAATATTGAACGCATCATTGAATTCTGTTCACAAAGAGTGATGGAAATGAGAAATATACTTCGTTTAGTAATCGTACTGGTATATACCAGTTCATCAGTTCCAACGTGCCGAATAATTTGCCTTTCACGTCGGCTCTTTTCTCCATGTTTGATTTTGTAACATTTTTTAGGCACTACAAATAAATAAAAATGAAATTAACTTTGCATCTTCAAAGGCTTATTATTTCAAAGGTGATTGGACGGGTATACAATTGTTTCCATGATTTCTTTTGTTGTGTTTCATAGATAAAAGATTCGATATCCTGATTAGGGAAAATCTAAAAATAACGTACCGAACTAGATACCACGAGGTTTTTTTGTATGGACTGATAAAGCTACATTAAATTCTATAAATTACAATTTTCTCTTTGGTATTTCAAGATCCTGATTAACGGTTGCTGAAAAACCTGGTCAACTTTTCTATTTCAAAGTCTTCTGGTAAATAAAAAAAAACATATTCAGAGAAATAAACAATTTCATAAAATAAAAAAGAACGAATTACTCAAGCGTTAGGGAGTGTAAATCCGGTATGCAATAGAAAAGGACTGCAAGACAAGAACTGATAAAAGTTAATTAAGAAAAACTAAATAAAGTTTAGTTGACATATATCATATCTCAATGAAAAGAGATTTTAAAAAAGAATAAAAAAGAGGTAAGATAGATAGGAACCGGATGTAAATATCAAGTAAAATATCAATCTGAGCTTAAAATAAATAATTTGTTATTATAGATGTATATTCCTTGCTGAAACATAAATTTAGTTAGTATTTCAACTTTTTTAATATAATCGTTTTCTCTATTGATAGGTTGAAAAATTCCAAGTTCTCCGTGATTGAAAACCTTTATTCAATTTAGTAAATTACAGGGACGTTTCCGGCTCCTGGCCCATCATCAGAAACTAAACATAGAGCAATTTCATGGTATAATTCCCAATCTGAAGGCACATCCATCAGTAATTTCCAATTTTTTAAATAAAAGTATTCATACCTGGACTATGCGAATGATATATATANATTTGGTAACCAATAAGGGACTAAAATAAAATATATGTTTCAATTACAGTTTTAAAACCATGTTGAAGACATTCCCCTCAACAAATAAAGGGGGTAGAAAAATAATAAATGTATTATTCGCATAGTCCAGGTATAAATACTTTTATTTAAAAAATTGGAAATTACTGATGGGTGTGCCTTCAGATTGGGAATTATACCATGAGATTTCTCTATGTTTAATTGCTGATGATGGGCCGAGAGCCCGAAACGTCCATGTAATTTACTGAATTGAATAAACGTTTTCAACCACGGAGGACTTGGAATTTTTCAACCTATCAATAGAGAAGATATAAACCGTGGAGTTGGTAATATATAAAATAAGATAATCTTTTTGTAGGATTGTGGTTGAAATGAAAACGTTAGTGTCACGAGCGGGATTCGAACCCACGACCTTCGGCATTTGGTCAATCAGACCACTAAATATAATGGGTTTTTAATATATTTGAAGGTTGATTTTCTCCGATCAACCTGGTCCATTCTCTTATGTTTGTTCAACTGATGATATGGTTTGAAAGTTTGTCTGTGTGTGTCCATGTGTACAAGTCCTTTCTATTGGTTCTAGTCAAACTTGAGATGGCCATTAACCTATATAACCAACCCGCGCTAACACGTTTTAATTCAAAATATCCGTTTTTTCATACCTATAAGAGGTAAAGGGTGGTCATGTGTAGAGTAGCTCAATATTTCATCAGATTTTTACTTTTTATATAAATTATTTTGACATTTGACAAATGACAATTGTTAAAAATGTATTTTAAACAATTTTATCCTAGTTTCCATTCATCATCACTTCATTGTCCCTTTTTGTATTGTTTGGGTTATACTATAAATCCATGTTGACAAAAGGTTGATAAATGCCGTGATTTTACAAGACGGTGTGAAATAATTTATACACAACGACCTGGACATGACCTAATTACCTCGACTATACTTCGAAACCTTCCTTCCTTACAAGGTCATAGTATTTTTAACCATACATAATGCCACCCTAGCACTCACTTTCCTTTATTATGGATGAACTGCATATTCTTTCTTATTCCTAACCTCACATACCTCCCAACCACATATCTTCCTGCAACCCATAACCTTCTTCCTGTGATGTTCAAAATCCTCGAAATACTTCTGTTAAAACGTTTCATACTAGATTATAAAAAGGATTATTACTAGATTAAATTTATTCTTTCTCACTAATATCTTCCGTCCGCACCTTTCCAAGATGCAGCAAAGTTTCAGAGTTGTTGACACCATTTCCTACTCTCAAAAATGCGAAGAGTATGGTTGGCATGGGTATGGCACCTAGGCATCTTTTATACACCTAAACGCTTTCTATTCACCATACTGACCTCTTCTTCAGAAAGAGATGCAGCATACAAATATCAGACTTCAAGGGAGCAATCTTGGTCCCATCCTATATGACTTTCCTACACGTTCCAACACCATAATTACCAGCTATGTGGATGGCACCGCTATTTTGTTCTCTAACCCGAATTCTATGTCCTCCAATGTCCAAGAACACCTTGCGCTTACCAAAAACTGATGCAAAAGATGGAGGATAAGTCTGAAAGAGAAAAACGTACAATGTAATGATTATAAAAGCAGTCTTGCCTTTCTACATAAACAACATGGAGCTATCAACTTCCAATCAAGACATTTACTTAAGATTATACCTAGACAGCAGAATGATATAGTGTTACTTACCTCTCAGGATTTAACAAAGAACTTGATGATACATGGACACGAAGATTTTAAGGACACGACATTTTTTTACATATTTACTACGACCACTCTGGACATACGGAGTGTGTCTGTGGAGTTCCACAAAGCTATCCAGTGTATCCAATCCTTTCAATTAAAAGTCCTTAGACAAATTGTCAAAGCTTGCTACGATTCCAACCTAACCATCCATAAATGACTCAACCTGTTTGTCAATTAAACTGATTCGATACCGCTTCCAGAAGTTCCCCACAAAGCTTTCGATTCATCCTAACCCTACTGCCTAAGCCTTATCTACACATTCTTATCCTGGAACCTTTTCGCCACTTAATCCTAATCTATGATAGCGTTGGCTCATTTCTCTTAACCTGTATGAAGGTTGCACTCGAATAAAGTTATTTGTTAAAACAGTAATAAACAAATCGTATAATAAAAACGATTTTTATTATACTCAATGAAAAATTAAAAGAAAAAATATTATAAACTTAACAGAAAAAATGACTAGATGGTTAAGATTGTTTGGTTTTTAGTGTTGTTGATCCCTCACTGGCGATTTTCCGTAATTGTGGTCCATCCTCCAGGTATTCGACGACCTAAAATTTGTACAATCAATTCAAAATCAATTTTGTTTTCACATCCCTTACATTCCCGATTGGTTCGTTTTGAGAACACTCCTGGGGTTGATCTGCACGGGGGAGGGGCTACCGATATATTCGACGACTACCTTTTTGTTACGTAGTGCCTCCTGAAATTTCCAAAAATTGCGTTTGAACAGGCGGAAATGGGGTTGATTTCCGGAAGCGAGTCTGGACCACGTCTGATTTTTCAATTACCTGAATTTCCGACCGGCACTGGGATTGGCGTTCGAAAACGGCGACGAACGCGCCAAAGATGCAGCTTCCGAACTCTTCGGGGTTCCCGTCTGAAATTTATATCGCAAAATTAAAATGGATGCTTACATTCCAACAAAGTGGTATATAACAAATACCGATTTTTTTAATAAATTTCTTTAAGGATTCTTCTAGCCTTAAAACTTGGCTGTGGTAGAACAGTCGGCTCCCTGAAATAAATTTTAAAAAATAAATAAATAAAAAAGATAAAATGTAAAACTGAAATAAAAACTATTTACTTTGTGTGATTTTTGGTGTATTGGAATTGTCAGTGACAGGGGAAAGTGAGGGAGGGTTGAATGAAAAATGGAACTTCTCCGTTTTCAACTGTACACTGGATTTCTCCAGGTCCTTTTGGATGATGTCTGCAAGGCAGTCGATGATTAACTCCTCGGGCACCAGTGGCCTGAAAAATGTGGTTAACCTATATTTTAAACAGTATTGGAACAATTACATTCATATTAATCATATTAATGTATGTTTAGCTGTCATAATTATTTCAATTAATTATTCATTTTATCTAAAGTCTTCGTTGAGTTGAAAAAGTTAGTGTCACGAGCAGAATTCGAACCCACGACCTTCGGGTTCGGTTAGAGCAGCGGCGTATCGAGCCGAAGGTCGTGGGTTCGAATCCCGCTCTTGACACTAACTTTTTCATCTCAACCAAGACCTTACATAAAAACAATTATAAATTGATACAATCATATTTTTTGTATCTCCCACTGTTTCTTATTTAGATAAACGATCAAGGAAAACCAAGTGTTCCGTGACGTAAAAATCTTTTATTTATGATTATTTGGAGATCGTGAGATGCGGTCTGGTGTAACGTAGGTTTAGAAAAATATTTTTTTTATCATGCCAACTTTTCAATTTGTATTGAGCTCTGAAGATGGCCTCAATAAAGATCGAAACGTTGGCACGAAAACGAACATGTTTTTCTAAACCTACGACACACCAGTCCGCATCTCACGATCTCCAAATATCATTCATTAACGGTCACTGAATACCACACTCTCTTTTATTTTATTTTATCACTAGATGTTTCGGGCTCATCAGTCAATCATCAACCGACCTTGCAAATCAATACAGTAAAAGTCAGCAGCTAATTTAATCGCTCTATATACTTAACTTTATTTGTGTATAAGTGTAACCACTTGTATCCAAATCGATAAATTATTCATAATCCAATCAACTTTGGCAAAAACCAGTTGGTTCAGAATAAATAAACGATTTTTACGCTTCGAGAAACTTGTCATGCTAATGGTCGTCTTTAGGACAAAGACTCATGACTACTTAACAAAAATAATACTGGTAAGTATCAATGGACCACATAAATCGATTTCTCGAAATGCGGCTTGCATAATTAATAAGTGGCCGAGGTCCAATACCGACCTGTCAAGTATGAAATAATTCCATCCCCTGAAATGGTTCCTATTTCAAAATTTTGCTTGGCAAAACCCGATTTAATCGAGCAAAATATGATATCTTCACGAACTTTAAATTACAAAGGCAACATTTTTCAACAGTGGATTCTTTTTGGAGCCATGGATTATGCCATGGTTTAAAAATAACAGTCCCCTCCACCCCCGAGTTTAAAAAGTCAACGAAGCTCGAAAAAATTTTAGGTCCTTAATTCGATCAAAGATCTTTGTATCGTTAATTTTTACTATGAGAGCCATGTACAACACAAAGCAGTCAGCGATGAAAAATTGTCCGTCTGTTTGGAGCTTGGATAATTTTATTCTGTCAAACAGGCCAGCCAACCGGGATTCCCAAGAAAAAACATTGTTCAAAAACTCTGAAAAGTCAGAACGATTCCGTTTGAAAGAAATTCACTGCTTGAACCACCAGTGTATATATATATATATATATATATATATATTCTCTCAGTGATTTTTGGTCCGGCAACGATTTTTGGTCTGTATTTTCAAATAGTATTTTACTTGAAGCTAGAGGTTATATAAAATTTTCGTTTCTAAAGCTGAAATTTAGTTGGAAATGATTTCACATAATTGCTATATAACAGTATAAAATATATGTTAGGCAGATTCTCTTACTCATAGAGACAGAAAGGCAGGATTTTTGCTTTTCTGCTTCGACATTCCCGACATATTTGTTCTATATATGATTACATTAATTTGTATATAAGAGTATAAAACATGTATTAGGTCATATTATGTTTTTACTGTTGACTAAGAAAGGCAAGATTTAGCCCTGCCCTGCTTCGAGATACTCTGAGATCCAGTCTCCATGTCCTAGTAAAAGTATTTGCACTGTATATGATTCCATATTATTACAATTAATAGCATAAAAATATATATAGACAGTATATATATTTTATACCCCTGACAATCACTAAGGCAAATTCTTCTCTTACTCAAAGAATAAGAAAGGCAGGATTTAAGCTTAACCTGCAACGAGATACTCTGAGATGTCTCCCAGCCCTAGGAGGTTAGTAATTAAAATTAATTCGTACTGTATATGATGCCATATAATTACTATTTAATAATATAAAATGTATATAGGCGAATTGTTATCCTTACTCATAGAGTATGAAAGGCAGTATTTATGCGTTTCCTGCTTCGAGATTCCCTGAGATAGTATCTCACAGCCCTAGGATGTCAGCAATTAGAAGTATTTGTACTATATATGATTCTACATAATTACTACTTAACAGCGGGCATCTTACTCAGAGAATATGAAACTGTTTCGAGATTCTCTGAGATCTTAATGTCTCCTTGCCCTAGGAGGTCGTATGTAGAAGCATTTGTACTATATATGGCGATAACGCAAGAATAACTGAAATTAACCCTTTTTTTAGTTTCATACCTGGTATAACATAGAATTTTTTAATAATTTGGAGTAACTTAAGGGCCGTGTTTTTCCCAGGCGAAATGAGTGTCGAATCAGTTGAGCTTTTTTACATTCCAAAAGCTTGCACTGAAAAATCAAACCTCATACATTGAGGAATATATTCCGAAACACTGCAGGAATACTCAACATGGGCCGTACCCTGGCAGATTCTTAGTCGGAAGTAGATAGGTAATTCCAGTTGTTTTTTTTTTGTTGGTTTTTTTTTTGGGGGGGGGGGGATTGTGACAAAAAACTTTTTCTGCAGCCTTTACGTTAGATCTATATGCTGCGTCCTACTCCTCATTTTGTCAAGAAGAGCAAAATGTTCTTAACTTTTGATTTTAGAACTTTAACGTACGTTAGTCCAAAGGACTCCGATGCCTTTTGTAGTTCCTCGTCAGCATCTTCATTGCCTGTGATACCTATAAGAATCAAAATAGGCTTTTCCGCCGTATTGAAGGATTACACAAATTTTTCCTTATTTGGTCGATTAAACTTTCATGATTGTGTTGATTTGCAATGAAATTTGGCTGTCGGTTTTAAATATAATTTCTTAATAAACCCTTCGTGCTTTCCTTTCTCTCAACTATCTTCGCCTTCCTTTCCTTACCTGAATAACTTATAAATATCTTAGCTTCTTTCATAGCTGATGCTTTTGTCAATGCCTGAATTCTTTCTCCAATCATTTTTCCACTTCCAACTTGCTGCTCCTTTTTTCTAGTTGGTCAGCCTTTTCATTTCCTTCTATACCTCAACCCAGCTTAAAATTACCTTGTGTTTTCCTAGGGCCATTAGGCAACTTAGGCATTTCCCTATGACTTTGGCTAAAAACATGTGTTTATCGCCTCCTTTGATATTCTTCTTTATTAATTAATTTGCACAGTGTTGGATTACAAGGGCCTAATCTTGGAAGATTGTTGGGTACAGTCCAAGGGGTTTTGCTATGGTGTAATTCGGTTCTTTTAACACTAAACCTACTAGGACCACTTTCTGAAACTTTGAGAATAACCTTGCTTCCAAAGATCTCTGTTATCTATTCCACTTTGAAGGGGACCTACCGTTATACTCATCTCATTCATTCTCTCAAAAATTTTCTGACGAATTCGCCTTAGATCTGATTTTTCCCCTAATTATTAAATAAAAATATAAACTCTTTCCGGCCTCTGCCGGTGTTCCTATCCTATAGTGCGGGCTCTCCTATTCCATCCTACTTTGCCCACACCTCAGGTCCAAATTTTGTGATGACCTTCTTAGATCCGATTTCCTTGTATCTCCGGAATCTGTTGATGTGTCTGATATCATTCGATCATTTTAACCCTACCTGGTCGATCGTACTCATCAATACTTTTTAGTTGTCCTGTCCGCCCTTCCCTCGAGGCCTTATAAAAATGTTTTCCGATTCTATTTTTATTGACGATTGCGCATGCAGCTTCCAGCGTTATAGACCGATATCCTTTTATCATCTTCAGAGATATTAGTAGGCGTTTCGCTAATTTTATTTGGCTGCACCTCTTGTCAGATTGGAGAAGCATATACCACTTCAGGTATTTCGGCTTTTTCACATATTGCTCTCAGTATTTATTGACCAATACCCCAGTAGACCTTTCATTCCTGGAAAGAATATTTATCACTTTCATTGACTGATCAGTAATGTGTTCAATCTTAACTTTACATTGAAAGTTAAGCCGAGGTATTTCATTGCGCGAATTTCTTCTTCCCATGCCTTATATTGAGATCTTTTTTGTTTGCCTTTCCATTTGAAATTCGAGCTTTCTAAATAAATCGTTTGGAAAGCTTGATTGGCTACACCCAAGTAAGTTTTCCATTGAGCTACCAATGTGTAGTCATCAGCAAAGCAGAGCTACAATATGCCCCAGATCCTTTGTCCACAACATGAGCCCTGTGGAAATTCTTTCAAAGTACTTGGCTCGTAACTGCTGCTCTTCCTGAAAAATAATTTCTCGCTATTCAAATAAATTTCTAGCAGTGCAGCATTGAAAGTTCTATGACGTTCAATGAAATGAACCTCTTTGATTCAAGCCCAGATTTAAAAAAAATTTACTGCCGATGGTTCCATTTTTCTAAGTGAGCATTGCATTATTCGTGGAATTTAATAATGGTTGTAGTAATTTAAACACGAGGGCAATAACTTTTACCAATTTTTTGCCTTTTTTTATTTACCAATTTAATTTAATTTTCACTAAGAAAATTTTCAATTTTTTTATATTTACACTAGATTTTGTTAATATTATAGTTATTCAGATGTCGTGAGATGCGGTCGGGTGTGATGTAGGTTTCAGAAAAACATTTTCTTTATCGTGCCAACGTTTCGATTTTTTATTGAGATAATTTCAGGGCTCAAAGCGTTTGTCTTTTGTGTAATTGTGCCATCCTTGCGTGTCGTGATGAGAGTGCCAGTGAGATTTTGTGAGATTTAAAATCTTACTGGCACTCTCAACACGACACGCAAGGATGGCACAATTACACAGAAGACAAACACTTTGAGCCCTGAAGATGATCTCAATAAAAGATCGAAACGTTGGCATGATAAAGAAAATGTTTTTCTGAAACGTACATCACACCCGACCGCATCTCACGACATCTGAATAACTATCGATTAACGGTCACTAATCTCTACACGTTAAAATTATAACTAAATCATCTTGATTATAATAGACAATCTATGTCGTCCAATTTCTTTGTACATATAAGAAAATTCTTTGTATAAGCTTCGGACATTTGATCTATGAAATGTTATCTAGTTCTGTCATTAGTTCCATGTAATTTTTGAATAACACACTTGGCCGAGGATAAGAGGAAACGAATGACAAAACACATTTTATCAAAACAGTAATAATCAACGATAATTGTCATTTTGATTAATCTAAAAAGACACGTATCTAAGTATCTTGACTCCTGAAAAAGGGAAAGTGCATGCTAGTAAATGTTAATTTTTAGCTGAAAATTTATCTTCGGGTCTTAATCCATACACAAAAAATAAAATTAATCTTTTAATAACAGTTGTTATAAAAGTGATATTTAAACATATGCTTTGGTCATGAGTCAAAATACGATGAAATTTCTAAACTCTTAAAACCGATGAAACCTTGCCATTAATTCCATGTAATTATGGACTGTCAAACGTGGCAGTTGAATGCAAGGATTGGAGAAACACTTTTTATCGAAGGATCAATGATGAGTGGTAATTTGTGGTCTTATATTCCCAGCAAGGGTTTTGACTACTGTTTCGGGGTTTGGTGAACATATTTCGAAGCAAAAATAGGCTGTTTTTTATTTATTTAGCTTTTTTGTTCAAGAGTGCAATTTTGATCTAGGGAAAAAACCAACAGGCTAGTGTTTTGTTTAGGGCAAGGCTTTGGGCTAGTAAAAAAGCCGGTCGGTCGCCGCCTCTAGACCTAACGCGCTTTATAAATCTTTAAAATAACTCTCAAAATACCTGGCTTTTAGCAAGTTGATACGCCTCTGCATGTCGCAAACCCTTTTCAAATATTTGCCTTTTTTGGTCTCTCGCCTCGAGAGGGCCTGAAGCCCGGCGACCATTTCCGACAGTTTTTTCGAGTCGAAAGTAGTCACGAAACAGTCCATGGCGGCTTGAAGGATCGGGAGGAAATTCGATTTAAACCGGTACAAAACGGCCAAATTTGGCCCACTGACGGTGAACAGAAGGGAAATGAGCCATTATAAATATTCTATTAGAATTAAATAGGCTTAAGAAAACTTATTTTCAATCTGGCGATCGAGATGGCAGTCGCCTTTTCAAAAGACAAAACGAATACATTTCCATTACAACAAGTCTTATGCTATACTAACTTACTATATCATCTTACTATATTTTAACTCTTTCCAGGATTTTTATTTTATTTTGGTCAGGGGAAAGTCGTTGGACGCTACCCCTAACAGCTCGCACCTGGCTTAAAAGCCTTCTGACGAGAAATCCTACCGGTGATGAGTTAATCAGCCATAAACAGACATCATCTGTGGGCACTTCCTCTCTCCAAATTGTGGATCGTAACGTGGATCCCCCTCTACAGAAAATATCAATTGAATACGACGCATCCTCGTCAGGGTGCACATCCTCCTCAAAGGACCGGAGAGTTTATTCCCTTGATTGTACAATCAATTAAGCCGTCTTATTATGATGGGGGCATTTAAAATTTTCATTGCCATTTCATGTTCTGACTTATGTACAAGTGATAATTCCATCCGAAAATTCCTTTGTCTTCACTCCCTCATCGTTATTCTTCCCATCATTCAATCAAAACTGAAAAAGGACAGACCTGTTACTTTACAAAACCAAAAACGACTGCACATAAAGTGTAAATGACAGAAATGTCTTCTAACGCGCAGTACTCAATTAACGAAAAAAATTCGCAACAATACATTAATTTTATTGTTATAAATTTTCATTCATTAGTCAGATCACCTGATTTTTACCCCCAATGGAATTCGTTTTAAATTGGTTTTATTATGAAGGAATTTTATTGCATGAAATTTTTCATTTACAGTATTTATTTACATAGTTGTGTTCAGTGGCTCCAGGGCCGTTATTGCACCTTTTTCACGTACTCTGTAAGAAGCATTTTATCTTAAATTATGCATTAAACATAAAATAGTTTAGGAAAAAAATATATTTAAAAAAACCCAGGCATTACCCAAAACAATAAAGGTATTAAATTCAACATTACCTGCAAGTACATGAGGTCAAGAAATAAATAAGACAATAAGAATATTCAAGTACATACTACACGCAACAAATCAAACTAATAATCAGAAATTTTAAAAAGATTTTTAATCTGTACAAATGAGCTATTTATGAATTGATTATAAAAATTTACAATTGCTCTATAGATGTGGGTTGTTAAGCTGGTTATGTTTAGGGTTACACTCTTGAAGTCTATCAGTGTTCAATATGGAATCCCTCCAATAATTCTTAGAGCAGAATTTTGGACTACCTGAATCTTACCAAAATTGGATTTAGACATATTTCCCCAAATGAGAGCACCGCAAGTTACATAATGGACGTATGTATAGTTCATAAATACGTTTTTTCTTTTTTCTTTTTACTGTCCATTCATGAGCTTATTAAAGACCGGGTAAAAGCTTCTTAAGATGGTCCATGGCAAAACATCACAAATGTGAGACTACTTTATCAACCACTTAGATTTTAATAAATTATAAAAATCCGAAACAATATTACACACAAAAATAAATTAAATTACAAATTAAAATCAATAATCATAAATTAAAAATAAACAAATCCAATTCTATTCAATTCCAACATTCCGACTTGACAACATAGAACGATCCATTCTGTAAAATAATTAAATACCTAACATCGTTAAATACTTGTTTACATAGTACAATTGTGTCACATCGCTATATAGTCAAACACAATTTTTTTTTTAAATAAATGAAAAATTTGTCGAGTCCGTAAAGCTTATCCCAATTAAAGCATTGTCGGTGTCGGAGAGGTTAGGACAAATTCGTCCTTGTCTCTTCCCTTAGGATCGAACAGGCCGTTTTAAGTCCTGGATGTGAACTGAGAGTTGATCATACTGGGTGAGTTGCAAAGTTGCTGATGAACTACCAAGGATCACCGGTTTTTGGGGTAACTTATCAAAGCCCTTCCTCAGAGGAAATCTAACCGAACTTCTATTGAAGGAATTGAATTTTTACTGTATTAACTTTCTTTCTCTTCAACATCCATCGGCTCACTTTCTTCGCTTTCTCTGTTTTACTTCCTTCATTACTATCCTCGCTATCATGGACTCCCAATGTCCAATTCCAAACGAGCTTTTTACGCTGTTTATCTTAACCATTATTTGAAATAGCATTTATTTCCTTCCCCTTGAGTATTCTAAGTGCTCCTATTGTGATTTTGTTTTACATTTTTAGTATGAAACTTTTATGACCGGTTTTCATGACTTGATCAAGAGGTGTGCCAGGCGGAAAATCATGATTGGCATTCTCAATAAAGTCTGAAGTCACGATTACTCAAGTGGTTAGAGCAGCGTCTTCAGGAGCTGAAGGTCATGGGTTCGAATCCTGCTCGTGACACCAACTTTTTTATTTCAATCAAGACCTTACATAAAAAGAATAATTAATTGAAAGAAGTAATTTCGTAAATCAGATCAGGGTTCGACTTTTGGCTGTAGTTCATGATTGGACAGTCAGACCGTTCATATCGGAATTTCTTCGAGGAACTCGAAACAGACAAGGTCTGGTGCTTCCCCGCAAAGTTCTCCTTCTTACCACTTTCTTCGAACTGCCTTTCTAATATTACACTTTGGGTGTACACTTAAGAAGACAGCTGCTTTTAAAGAGTGATGACTTTCACAAGCAAACCAGAAAATATTTGGAATGTCTAGAATCTTCTATGAATTCGATCGGCCCAAAGAGACATAAGCTGAAACTCAGGAAAAAAAATTGCAAAGAAAAATTATAACTATTATAGGCTCAAGACTACACTCGACAAGTCAGACGAATAGTACTGACAAACTATAGTATATTTCATTATTCATCATTGGTATTTTATCTGCACACATATTTCTCATTGATTTCATCCTCCAATATAATTTATTCTTCTATTAATCTATTATTTTCTATTACATTTTATCAATTTTTTCGTGTTATTTTATTGCTTTATAGTTGATTATGTCATTTTTCAAGATATTTTTTAACATTGCTATTATAGTAATAATTTTTATTTGTATTGTACAAGTAAAAGCTTAAATGGACTTATATGAATAAATAAAGTTAGTGAAATTTTTTCTCAACAAATTATTAAGAATAATTAATTTACAAAATTAACAAGATTTGTTATTTTTTCTCATACAAAACTGAAATATTTAAACAACCTTGCATTAGGCAAGGTCAATACCCCATCATATTCTTTGTACCTACTTTTTTTTAATTGGTATGAGTTAATATTAATTCGAGGTTGAAAGTTGTTGGAACCTATTGATCAGTGGTTAGTATCGGCACCGACGGAGGTTTAAACCCGCCAGAGCTCTGATTTGTCTCAGACTTCCCTAGCTGAAGTACAGTAGGTCATTTCCGACACATACTTCGCCAGGCTGTCCTTTTTTGCCTGGGTAAAGCTGTGTCTATCCCTTGCTCTTTTCATTTTAAAATCAGCCAGGTTCTCTTCCGTCGGATGCCTTCTGAAGCTCCGGAACGCCAGCTACTTCGTGGGCACGTCTAGAACCATCACTCCACCAAGGAACTCGGGGTCTACAAGAAGATCCTCCGGTCCTGGGGATCGCTCTGGATGCAGCGTCGTTGATCTCCCTCTCAAAGAGAAGGAGATCGGTGTCGACATTCCCCGTTAATTCGGGTGCCGACACCCTCGCGGAGAAAAGCTCCCAATCCGCACGCTTCAGACCCCACTTCTCGGGAGCACGATATATCCCTCTCGAGATGGAAGTGCTCAACACTATCGAGAAGTGGTCACTCTGATGGGGATCTCCAAATGGAGCCCACTCTACACAATTAGCCAGGGATGGCCAGGCTAAAGAAAGGTCGATCGCGCTAAGGTTACCTGTGCTAAAATCTACGTGCGTAGCATGATCTGTGTTTAGGATGACCGGATTGGATTCACCAATTGTTGTGCGAATTAAAATCACCCAATAACATCACCGGTGCAAGTATTATTATTTTATTAAGCCAAAAAAGCCTATGGGAAATGTTTAAATTATGGAACAAAAATTCGAAATTCTAATTAAAGAACATGAATAAATTTTATATGTAATTTAAAATAGGACTTTTGCATGCAACTTAAGAATTTTAAAAAGATGAATTCAAGCTTTGGATGGCAATAGGATAAATTAGTTTATAAGTGAATGTTTGGAGTCAGAGCTTTAGAGCACACAGCTAACCTAAGATAGGTTTGGATGTTAGGGCGTGAAATGGCTTTAGCCGTTCAAACGCCCTTAAAAATTAANTACGAGTGAATGTTTGGAGTCAGAGCTTTATAGCACTCAGAAGGGATATAGCTAACCTAAGATAGAAGGTTTGGATGTTAGGGCGTGAAATGACCTTAGCCGTTAAAACGCCCTTAAAAATTAATATTAATAATAATAATAATAATAACAAAAAATTGTACGCAAATAATACCAGTTTGGGGTAAAAATTGTAAAAAACTACATATTGATCACATTTGCAATAGAGCTTATCAGTTGCTCAGATTTATAAAGAGGACGAGCACAGTTTTTCCGGGTCATTCAATAGTGAAAAGACCCTTATTTTCAGAGGACTATTTTAGTTTAGTCACCATATAATTCCTTCTCCCAAAAAAAATTGAAAAAGGACAACGGAAATAATAAATACTATTTCTCATTCATTTCGAAATTTGATTCTCCAATATAGTCTTTCTTCTACATATTTTTATCTTACATTGTTATTACTATATTATTTTTATTGTTTTTGTATAGATTGTATTATTGGTATATAGTTGATTAAGGAATTTCTGAAGTTTTACATTTTGTTTAATATTCAAAGTTTTAGATGTATCGAAGTTACTCACGAATAATCTGGATGTTACAATTAGTAAGATATAAGTCTATATTAAAAAAAAATTATTGTTATCTAACCAAGCTTTCGACTTATTTTATGTTCATCGTCAGAGCAAAACAATTGTATAAGATGTCTACAAATTGGCATTTACATAATTAATGCTTATATTTACAAACATAATTAA